AGGTCTGGTGATACGATTACAAAATCGATCATCGACCTACGGCCTAGAGCGTCCTGGTGCCGGAAAGACATTTGATTTGGGTAAAGGAGCAATCTATACCCAAATCAAATGTCTTTCTGTAGTTACAAAATATGAAAAATGCATGCTGGCACCTATGATCTGGTTCCATGTTTGTCTCCTTTTAGGCTGAAGGTACTTCATCTCTATGGATGTGCACATCTACCCACTGAACACGAGATCAAAGAAGTGAACAGCACCGTTAATGTTTCCCCTTTGTCCTGACCCTGACAGTTATATCTCCACGAAATATTTATTGAACAAATCAAAGAGGGAAATGTTGATTTAGCCAAGTATGTAGCATTATTAGTTTTATTTTTCTATGCTATTACATGAGCAACAGGCTAAATGAGGTCTACCATGGTCTGGGGTACTATTTTCAAGGATGACTAAAAGGCATTTAATATATGTGCTTGACTGCATGTGTTTAAAGATTGTTATCAGATGTGCAAAAATCTGAAGGGTGTATCGTCTAAGCATTAAATATTTTCTGTCATTATATAACTTTGCGGGAATTTTTTAAAAGGCTGCTTGTTTTTCTACTTTTAACTCAGGTTAATGTTGTTAGGAAAAACCCATCTCATCGTATTTTACAACTTAAAATAAAAAAATTAATTAAAAAAACTGCAGTTGTTTGTATGTGCCGCTGACTTTGTAGTGGCGTAGTGGGTTACTGCTACTTAGAGCAAAACTATGAGCTTATTTTTTTCATCTGAATCGAGTCAAATAAACTATAAATAAACTAAAAACAGAAGCTAAGAATACTAAGATTTAATAAACTGTTTATAAAACAGGAATTGGGGCAATGGGTTTAATAATATGTCTGATTATATTTTACATTAAAATGTAAAGATTACACTCTGGCTACAAAGGCATGATATTGTACATGGAATTGGCAAAAATAAAAGATGCAGGAGTACTTTTGAATTTCTATAATTTGCATTCCTGTATAGCATTGCTGGTATCATCATAGCAGGACTAGCAGTGTGTTTTGTACTAGTCTGACTCCAGGTTTAAAGAGCCTTCCAATAAAAGCTCCAATGAGTACTAATAATTAAAGATAGGACACATAATTCATATGCTGTGAATGGCTAACTATGTTACAAAGTCAAACGAGGAACCACATCAGCAGTGGCACTTTAATGAGACAATATCGAGGGTTTACTTTTAACTTGTTTGAGGGCAAAACACAAAACACTGCTGTTTTTATGCAGTTGCTGGTTTTGCAGATTTTGACCACACTGTTAGGATTCTTGCTTGATGCTGTTTGGTTTAACAGCATTTGCAACACCACATTTTATGGTCCTAAAATAGTTTATTATCAGTATTGCATACCTATAAAAAAGAAAGAGAGACGGGAGGGGGAGGATATAAAAGAAACGTATCAGAAGGAGTGAGTCTATTCGCGGAGCTGCATTCCATCTCCTTCCAACAATGGGGTTTAACCTTACGACTGGCTATCAACTATCAAAAGGAAATCCAGCTCTAAATTTAATTTCACTTTACCTAACAGCTAAAGTCCTGTAGGCTCTGCCTGTTTTTCTAGTACTTTTTTCGCTCTTTTTATTATCTGCAAATACTTGCTTTCAAATCTAAAAGCCACATTGCTGCAGAAATTAAAAACAAAACTATGGCAGCAGCAAAGAAAAAGAGTGAGGAGGAACAAAAGCGCCTGAGCTCTCTCTTTCATGCCTACGATGTGGATAATTCTGGGCAGATTGAAAAAAATGAATTCAGCACCATTTGCCAAGAACTCCACGTCTCGTCCCAGGAAGCAGAAGGCATTTTCAATCGCCTGGACGTCGACAAGGATGGCACGGTGACCTTAGAGGAGTTCCTTAGTGGCTTCAAAGAACAGCACCAGGAGGAAGAAGATGATGCTGAAGAAGACACAGACTCCTCAGCTTGGGATAGAAAAGAGCAGGTCCTATCCAGGTGAGAGGTGAAAAGGCCTGGGTGCTCTGAGTGTAGCTAACAGCAACATGTCATAGCAAAATGTGTAAAATATGCTTTTGCCTGCATGCAGCGGTCTTCTTTAATGGTAGAGTAGGATTTATGAAAGATTTGAATCCAACTATTCTTGTGGGTACGGATCGTGTAGTTTAGGATAACAGAAACTGATACTTTGACCTGACAGGAAGCTGAATATGAAGATAAATTAGATGACAATTTATTTATGAAAATGTGGACCAAGCATTGCTGACATGTCCTTAAACAGGAAGCATAATCAATAATCTGGTTCGTTAACCTGATTTTTACTGAAAAACAAAGTGTGATGTACTAATCTAGATTTTTTTTGTGTGTCAAACAAAAATTAACAATATCACAGCTGTCACATTTTGTAAGATATGCGATTGAGGTATCTGGTTTGCAGAGCAGTCTGTAAAATCAGGTCAGTGGACATCCACAGCTGGAGGATTGTTGCTTAACCTGCCATAGGCAGTAAAAACTGAACAATGTGCTGGGTGACTTCATTGTATTCCACGTATTGCACACAAATTTTAGCTTTTGTTGTCAGTGGATCCTAATGTTTTTCACACAAGGAAACCATACTTAGATAACAAGAGTAGGTTGGCCCGTTTTACCATGGCAGAGCAGGAAAATCAGGCAATTGTGTCAATGTGCCAAAAAGTGATGACGATGATGAACAAATAAAGTAGAAACAGCATTTCAATCACAACGTAGAAGCTGCAATTACTTTTTAGCAATCTGAAAGCTACATGTGAGGTTTCTTTAACCTGTTGTAAATGATTACTTTATAAGACAAGGACGTCAGGCTCATTATGATACCTGCTAGTATAACATTGGAGTATTTTAGTATGTTTTTGTTCATTTTTGTGCATTATCCCATATAAACTGCAGTGGAAATGGGAAATTGCTGCAGTGAGAATACTTACAAACACTAGAAAGAACATATTTCTTCCATGTTGGTGTATGTTCGTTAGTTCGATGTTAAATCCAGAATTTAATTTAAAATCCTTCCCATCTCATGCAAAACCTTAAACTATTAGGAGCCATCTCATCTTAAAGACCTCATAGTACCATATCAACCAGGTAGAGCACTTCGCTCTCAGACTGCTGGTTTACGTGTGGATCCTTGGATATTTCAAAGTAGAAGCAGGGAGGCAGGGTCTTCAGCTTCCAGGCCCCTCTTCTGTGGAACCAGCTCCCAGTTTGGATTCGGGAGACAGACACCCTCTCTGCTTTTAAGATTCGGCTTAAAACATTCTTATTTGATAAAGCACATAGTTATGGTTAGATCAGGTGACCCTGCATCCCCCTTTAGTTATATTGCAGTAGGCTTAGGTTGGGGGCTTCCCATGATGCACTGAGTGTTTCTTGCTCACTGACTTTTTTCACTCTCTACATGTTTAGTTGTTACTAATCACTGTCTCTCTTCCACAGAGTGTTTTTTGTCCTGTCTTCCTCCCCTGACCCAGGCAGATAGCCGCCCCTCCCTGAGCCTGGTTCTGCAGGAGGTCTCTTCCTATTAAACAGGAGTTTTTCCTTGCCGCTGCCATCAAGTGTTTGCTCATGGGTGATCCTGAGCAAACACTTGATGTTGAGGTTTTCTCCATGTTTTTGTAGGGTCCTTATCTCACAATATAAAGTGCCTTGAGGCAACTGTTTTAGTGATTTGAAACCATGTAAATAAAACTGATTTGAATTTGAAAGGTCCTCAGTATGATATAAATGTAAAGTCTACTATCAAATAGTTAATATTATTGTGTTGAAAAGTGATAAATAAATTAATATTTATGTATAGCTGTTTTTTTTAATCTTCGCCTGTATTTAATGTGATTAATAGTCAAATAATAATTTATGCCTGGAAAAAATGGAAATTTAGACTACGTGTCTGTTCTTCGTCTCAGTTACAGAAACTTCAGTTTATTCAGCTAGAACGATAATAGCCTTTCGCCACAGAGCCACTTTCATTTGGCCTGAAGCCCAGAGGTCTATTGTTAGGAAGAGAGAGGGGAGTGATCACACTGGCAGGTAGCAATGGCAGGCGCGTTACCTGAGGCAGTGAGACACAGCAGCTTTTTCCGTCCAGCTGGAACATTGGCTACAACAATCTGTAACATCACGCGTGAAGGCTACGCGGGAGCAAATGCTTTTATTTTAATGATAGTTTGGATTGTTTAAAATGGATTTCTTTGATCAAAACTTTTGTAAACGCACACCAGCTGTGGTAATGTTTGGATAGGAGCGGATTAACTCTGGAAGTTTGGAGTTTGGACTACTTTTGTTTTTTCCTGGTGTCTGGAAAGTAAAACGCTGGCGTTCCTGTAAGGTTTCAGGGTTTCGTCGTCTCGGTGGTGATTGTAATTTACCGAAACGCCTTCTTTTTTTTCTTTTTTTTACCCCAGCCAGCCACAGCCCCCTATCAAGGGAATGAGCGCAGAGGAACAGGACCGGCTGCGGTCCCTCTTTCACACCTACGATGTGGACAACTCCGGGCAGATCGAACGAAACGAGTTTCTCACAATCTGCGCAGAGCTACAGGTGTCAGCAGCCGAGGCTGACCGAATATTTGACCAGTTAGACGTCGACAACGACGGCACTGTCACCCTGCAAGAGTTCATCAGCGGATTTCACGACCGCTACGAGGCGGACATGGAGTCAGAAGGAGGCGACCCGTCCGCAGCTTGGGAAGACTTTGAGAGCAGACTGAACGAGCAGGCCAAGTTCATCCCCAGGTGAGAGTGCACAGCTGTTCTCTGGCCGGTAAGGGCGATGGGTACAGACGGGCGGATGTGTTTAAAATATGGAAATGTTCAGGAGATATGAGTGCGTTCAACAGTGAGCGCAGTGTGCGTAAAGGTGATAGTGACAATTAATCTTCACAGGGAAAATAGCACCTCTGAAGTAAAGCACACATCTAATTTAAAAAGGTGAACTCTGGGAAAGATCCAGTAGAGCACATTTCAAAGTTTGCCTCTACAAAACGACGAATCCATTTCCATCCATGACTAAAATCATTATTAATAATATGAAAATGAGAGTGAGCCTGTGTGAAAATCTCTGGATGTTCAAGTTTTTATTTTTTTGTTTTTTCCAGAATGCATGTAAGCTAAGGAGAGGCATTAATGGTGAACCCCCCTCACACACACAGGTGTATGGGAAGGTGCAAGCTGTGCAAATCACTCATGTTCTAACATAAAAGCAGACAAGGGGAGCAAACTCCAAAGCATGTTTAACAACTGTGCCAACTAAAAAAGTAATACTGCTTTAAAAAGTTCGCTTTGAGGTTTTCCTTTAAATAAACACTTTAAACTAAATAAATTCATCCATTCCTTTTTGGGTAGGTACAAAGACCTGCTGAAGCTGTTCTCACTTTCAGTGATGGTTGTAAAATCTCTATTCAAAGTGAGTTTGTTTCACCTTATTTAAGCAGATTAAAAACACATAAACCAACTTAGGGGCACGGATCGCTCAGTAGGTAGAGTGGTGGCCCCATGATCGGAAGGTCGGGGGTTCGACTCCACTGAACGGCTACCCTGAGGTACCCCTGAGCAAGGTACCGTCCCTACACACTGCTCCTCAGGCGCTGCATTGGTGGCTGCCCACTGCTTCTCTGGGTGAATGGGTTAAATGCAGAGGAGCAATTTCCCTATGGGGACTAACACACATACACAATACACACATTACTTAGCCAATACTTATATCACTGTGTGTAAAGAAATAGCCACAAGAATCGCAGGCATGTAATAACACAACCAGTATAAATATGAATGGAAGCTCTAAGGACGTTCCTGTTTACACTATAGCACATCTATATCCAGTTTATATGAATGGTCACGTGTGTACAGGGATGTTTGTGTAGACAGAAATGTCTTTTTTTATTTAACTAAAGCTAAAGGACACCGAAATGAAAACATCTGAAGCAGTTACATAATTACGTGTAGCATTAGTTCAGATAAGCCATGAAGCCAAGCTTAGCCACAATCATGCAGGATAACAGCTGATCTCAGTGTAACATCATTACCGACATCATGGCTGAACTCAAATAGCAAATTTCATATTGTGATTTTATTTTGCTAAATGCTGTTTCTGACTTGATCAGTGTGGTTTGTGTTGTCACTGTTGTTGGCACCAGTAAGACAATGTTGGGTCCTTGCTGCTGCTGTTCTCACCTTTTGGCTTTTAATGTGTCCAGATGGAAGCACAGAGAGATCCCAGAACAGATCCATGTACAGATCCACTGCAGTGGATCTGTGAATGTGAATAATACAGCACAGTGTAGTCGGTGTCATGACAGTAGATACTAGAGTACTAGAGTGCGACTGGAAGGTGTTCATCCTGCATTTCCGTGCTTCACCTTACATAACTGTAGTAATCACCTTCAATGTAACACCTAATGTGATGTTTTTAAATTGTTTTAAAAGTCTGTGCTCTTTGTTGGAGGAGAGGTGACATGAAAAATAAGTAATTAAAAAGCAGAGGAGGTTTTTTTTCTCTCTTGACCTGCAGTGTTATTTATTCCTTAACTCCTTAACGAAGGATGTTCTCCGATAATTTCTCAAAACTTTGTACAGGTTTGGCCTCGCAGTGAATATTTTTATATGCAAACTAAGCATTTTCCACAGAGAAATACATCAGTGTCATTGAAAATAACACTGTGGTGCGCTGTATCTGCTATGGTTTTTCATGTAGTTCTTAGATCTTCCTGGTAAGTATATTACATTTCTTATTATGTCATCACTTTGAGTTTTCTTTACTGATTATTCAGGTTTCATGATGCCCCCCAAAATCAACTATCATAAAATATAAACATGTATTAAGTATAACTCAGGGATGCAGTTCATCAACTGCTGTGAGGCTGTTTAGTCAGATAAAGTGAGCAGTTTCTGACTTTTGATTGAACCAGTTTCAAAAACATGACATCTCTTCAGGCTTTATTGCTACTTATTTGACCAGATAAGGCCTAATTTAAATACAGCACTCTGCAAAGTCATTCCTCTTTTCTTTATATTTTGTTAGGAAAATGGGAAAGGATTGGTTGAAATGTGAAGCCATACATGGAAATATAGTATATAAGGAAAAAGAGTTGGTACTATTCTTATGAGTTGATATTTCCTTTATTCTTTAACACCGTCTCATTCTCTGAGTAATGTTCAGCAGTAGTTCCAGGCTTCTTGAAGGACATATGAAGCTCTTCTTTGGATGTTGGCTGCCTTTTGTTCGATTATCTGTCCAGATGATCCCACACTGCTTCAATAATATTGAGATTCGGGCTCTGAGGAGGCCAGTCCATGACTGACTGTGTTCCACTGTGTTTTTTCTATCTGAATATGCTTTTACTGCTCTGGAAGAGTGTTTGGGAGCATTGTCATGCTGAAACACGAAGCCACTTCGCCATGCTTTCCAAATTCAGCAAGATCCCCCAAACCAGCCTTCTCTGTGTTTTACAGATGACTGTAGACTCTGACTGTTGTACTTCTCTCCTGATCTCCATCGTGCACACTGACTATGATTGAAACCAAACATTTAAAATTTAGATTCATAAGACATGGTGCAACTGATTCAGTCCAGTTCAGCTTTTTCTCTCCATTTCTCTTTATGTTTTGCATTTTTGTAGATTCAGCTAAGGAAATGAGAATAAACGATGTGTTTTTCTAACAAGCTGCTAGTAACAAAGTGCCTAAAAATACACTTTAAAACTGATTGCTTTCCTAAGTGGTTTGTTATGTGTATGTGGCTCATCCTGTGAGTTAGGTGCATTTTTTATGCTTGAATTATTCATAAATCAGTATTAAGTGATAAAAAATAGCTCTCTGAAAATGGTCACATCCAATGACTGGGCTCGATAATGCCTACTCGCTTTACACACACTGTAGACCCATCCATGTGCGTGTGGCCACTGGCCTTACATGGGACTTTTTCTCATGCTGTTGTGTTGCGGCATCAGGACATTGATTGTCACGGTGGTGCCGTCGGATAAATGCACTCTTTCATCTTCAAGCATTTATAGTCACTGTTACATCAGTCAGCTGAGGGAGGATAGTTTGGAAAACCCAGCACACGCTTCACTTCAGACAGATGTCTGTTTTCAGGAGCTGAAAAGATATTTTGTGTGAGAACAAGAAGACAAGTCAAGAGCAAAAAATCAATTTCTTTCTTATGCTTGAGAATGATCTAATGTGTTATGAACTTTGTTCAGTCTCTCAGCTGATGGAGACCGAGCCTGGAAAGATGGTTTGACCTATAAAAGGCTTTCACTGCTCGGTTTTCAAGAATTTTCTTCTAGGGGGGTCAAATGTCTCTACTCTGCATTTGTTGACATGATCAACTGTTTACAAAAATTGCATTTGAACACAAATTTCATAAATAAAAACAAGCTTTTACAGGGTTAAATTTGGGTCTCTTCATTTGATTTCATACTTTAGCCTTTTGCGTTTCTGAGTTTTCAGCAGCTGTAGATCATGTGACTCACCTAACAACTGCTCCTGTTTGTATCTTACCTTCACAGGTCTGACGTTAGTTTGTTTGCGTGCATTTCTATCATGACCCGTTTGTGTATAGCAATGTACGACTGTATGTACATGAAGCAGTCTATGTATGCACAGGATTACAGCCAGTCCACCCTATCAGAAAGCAAACAAACTCTCTACCGCTTTATGACCCACTTTTACCATCGGTGTAGGATGTGAAAATACAGAACACTTTATCACTGTATTACCATAATCACTCCGAAACGACATTCAGTGGCTATATTGCATAATGAAGTAGCAGATCTTCAGGTTTAACACACACCAGGAAAGCTATTTTGTTTTCAGGGTAAATAAACGAGAGGTTGCATCACTGGGAAGCAAAGTGATATGAATGAAAAGAAGTATTCATTAAAAATCAGTCTTTAAAATTAGAAGAGTTATTCCAACATTAGATATTACTTAAACTGACACACAAACCGTTTTATTTTCTACTTGTTAAATAATCTTTAAAGGCTCAACAAAAATGTAGATTTGCTAAATATCTCAATTATGTTAACTGCTGTT